AAAATATTTTATTTCAAAAGCTTTATATTCAATAGACTATAACTACTAGTCTCTGTGTATTTTAATATAATATAGTATAATCATGTATATAGTGTTTATACGATATATATATATATATATGAATCATAACATATTTTGTATGTATTATAAATATTAGAATAATTAAAATAGAATATTAATATTAAATTTACATCTAGTCTTTGTGTTGAATAAGACAAAAATCTTAGATTAATAAATAAATAAATCTAAAACCTAATTACTTACCAAAATAAACAAACATATAAAAAAACGTAAAAATTAAAAAGATTCTGCAAAACAAATTTTTATTCGCCATATTTAACGGTCACCTAAACAAATAAAAAAAATAAAAATAAAGAGCAATTGAGAGGGAGGGCGTTTCTTTCAGAAGAGGCGATCGCATTACTCGACACTCCACAATTTGTTATATTTCAATCTGGCATTCTATCAAAACACAATCGATGACGAAATACCGTATTAATAACCGATATGACGTAAATGTTAGCCTGTATTACTATGCAAGCCAACAGGCTAGGATCCATTGAGACTAAATTCGGCTAATTGGATTGGATTATTTATATAAGGCGAATGCTGAGAGGGGTGCCATCGGGGGGAGGACTTTTTAAAGAAAACTGGCCCCTATTTAGGTGTTACAAACGTGAAAAGGATTCGAAAAACTCCACGTGTTCAGCCTCGAATCCACCACCAGTTTTCAGAGGTTTATTTTTGCCTATTTTTGCCACTAAGAGGATCCTTTTTTAAATCCCACTCATCACGGGTTCTGTCAGGCCCATAATGAGAGAATTTCTAAGGTTTTTCAACCTCCCCAGTTTAATCCCGGATCTGTTTGTAAATTTAAATAATAGCTTAATATTTTTTGGGGGGATTTCAAAATTCGAAAATTTATAACAATTTATAAATGTAAAATTCATAGAAATAGCGTTAAATGTAACTGGATAAAATATAAAACAAAATATTTTTCTATAGACTTTATAAAATACATTTTTATTAAAAATAATAACTTTAATATAATATTATAATTGCAAGTAAATAAAATAGACAATTATACAATATATTATTATTTCATAAAATGATTTAATTTATAATATATTTCTTATTGTTGTAGGAAATAAGTATGAAATTATTTATAACAGCAGGAATCTTCAATGCAAAATACAAAACAAAATTCTCTTTTAATAATACCCTTATTAACTCGAGTATTAAATTAATAAAAATGATTAATTTTACAGATATTGAATCAATGTAAATGAATCAATAAAATCGATTACCAATTCAAACTTACTATAGATTATCATTGTGATAATCTTTAGTAATCTTTTAGTGAAATGATTTAATTATAGTACGGTTTAAATTCCAATAAAATTATATAATTAAAAGAGCTTATGAACCGTTACTACATATTTAAATTTATCCCGTGAAAAATTACACGATAAGAATAAGAAGGAGATAAACTATAAAGAAGATTCTATCTAGAGTCATTGCAAGAATAAGCCAGTGTTCTTCTCTAGACAAACATTGCTTGGTCACAGTTTGTTCTTCATAATTTTCTGATAAATTAGTCATTCCACCTTCTTCTTTAAATTCTCCGGGAGGACAAACGCCTATTATTCTTCCCACCGTACCAGATAGAATACGGACGAGTGTAGGAGAAATCGAAAGCACCACGCTTAATCTAGATAGATTCAAGATTAACGCTTCGATTAGTAACGCCGAACCGGCAACTAAAAACGTATTTCGGAGAGGGGATACTGTAAAATGAAAATAATTACTGTAGTTATTAATACATAAGTTTTATTTTTAATATAAAAAGTCTTACCCGTAGACGATAAAAGAGAAGGCGAAGATACCGTAGAACTTAAATATAACATTACGCTTGAAAGTAAAATTAATACAAGACATCCTAAATTTATTTTCTTATTGGAATTCGGTGGTAACCAAAACATGACCAGTGTTAAAAGAATGGCAACGGTTCGAGGACCGTCAGTGACGTATTTCGTGAAGTCGTATCTACGCTTCAAGTATAAACTGAAAGTGAACGTGGAAAAATATCGAGGATTCGATCGGAAATCTTCAAGGTAATACTTCATGTCGGTGATTTCCCAAACGCTATTATTATTCGCCAATTCTTCCGTAATAACTTCATCCCAATATGAAATTAATTGCAATTCGTTTCCTTTACTCATCCACGCTCCGATTGTGATATTGCATACTTTTTCATTTTTGTTTTGAGTAAACATCTTTGGACATCGAGTGCGAAGTGTTGCAGGTATAGCTTGATAAACAATTCCCAGATGGCTCAATATTAAATGGCTTCTGTGCCATTGTTCAGTTTCGGTGATTGGAATGCTGTAACAATTTTAATAGTATAATTTGTTAAATAATAAGTTTAAAATGTTAAACACAATAATGGATACAACATATTATATATTATATTATATATATTTTATATTTTATCATAAAAGTTTCGAAAGCGCAAGAGTCATTAAGCTTCAAAGAGGGTAAACAAAATCGTACCATACACAAACACACACATTAACATCTATACGTATAGAAAAAACCTCTAAATGTTTTTGAATTTCTAGCCATTTCAAGAGCCCTTAAGTCCAAAAATGCGAAAATCTTGGGGAGGGTCATTTTTTGACCGATCGCCATATTTTCATCCGGTTACAGAGCCAGGAAAGTAAAAATAAGAGTCCCATGACTTCGTTTTCGATATACAAAGGTATTACAGTGACAATATCCATGCTGTGATGCGAGGAACATGGACATTGACAATGTCTATGTTTCTCGCTGTGTGTCACTGTAATATCTTTGAATACACCTAACAGAATTTAGATCTGAGGTTCAAGTTGTGGATTTTAGACTATGACAAAGAAAATAAGCTGAATATATATGTATAAATAACTATATTCATATAAATAATAATTTTTTAATTAATTACACTGGTCTACATAATTTTTGGCACAGAAGAGATTAAAATATGGGATATGAAATTGAAATCAGTACGAAAAATTCTATTAAACACAATTTATCTCTTCTGTGTGCCAAAAATCATATAGACTAGTGTTATTAGTGTCTTGCCCCTGTACATCATACTTTTCCTTTAGCAATAGAGTCATGCCAGTCACCTAACTCCTTTCAGAGGAAAATATTTGAATTAAAATAACGTAACTTCCGGTTTATATCGGTAGTTTATATATAGTTAATCGGGACCTCCTGCATCTAAAGTTTCCATATCTGGTCTCAATGTTCATCTATCTAAGTCGATTCTCGAGATTAAGGAAGGACAGACAGTGGGAATTTATAGGTTTACAATTTTTTTAAATTGCAGCTCAATGATAAAATTTACATGCAAACGAGTCATTGTGAATAAATTAAACGAATATTTATACTGTAAACGATAACATTTTTTAAGAATTAAAGCACGAATTAATTAACTAAATAAATCTTTATACCAATTTACAACGACAATATTCGGATTCCACGCTTCGTCCGGTCCCAAATGAGTCCACATGATGTCTCCATAATCCTCTGGATTCCATTTCAGTTTGTCGTCCATCCACATCTGTTTGAAATATTATTATTTTTTATATAATAATCATACATTTTAATAATTTCAAATATTAAAACTTACGCCATAGAAACATCAAAAACTTTATATGCCTAATATTTTAAAATTGTTTTAATATAGAAAAAACGTAATGACATTGGCTTATCTAATTGTTTTTATACGCTTAATTATAATAATATTAAGTTATAAATTATTATTCGTTACGAATCTCGACATCTCAAAAGATACCGTTTTAAATAAATTGAATATAAATACAGTATTAACTGAATTATATTAAATGCTACATTGATAATTATTGTACTATGCCAATGAGTTTACTTTATTAAGTTCATTAACGGTAAAGAACTTTATTTAAAATTTTTATTGGTGTAAACTAATAAAGTTTAAGTGATAAACTTTAACGAAGAATAACCTAAAAATTCAATTAATTAAAGCTAAATATTTACCAAAGGAATCCAAACATTTAATGTTACCGTCGCAGTCTTTTCATCCTGTTACGAGAAAAATAACGTCTTTAAAATGATTAAAATTAATATTAAAAATATAAGAAGTTTTAAAAGTTAGGATAATTATTTAGAATTTGATGAAATTACCAAGTCCACCAGAGAAATCGGTACGAATTGGATGGATACTTGAATTGGCATAGATGTATTTTCGACTGGTCGAGCAAGTTTATCATACTTATCTAACAAATCTTTTCTTAATTTCTTTATCATTGACATCTGATTATCGGCTTCATTTCCGTAATTAGGAACTAGTACTATAAATATAATCAAAAAAATTAAGTTATTTAGGAAAAAAATCTAAGATCTATCTTTACAGAAATATCTAATACATCTCTACGATAATAAGCACATAATCATAAGACAATTAATATAATATTATACAAAACAGCTTTCAAAACATTAATGCTAATTGTTATATGTATGATTATACTTACAAATTGTAAAAGTGCATAAAAAATATACAACTGTAAATGGAATCATTGCAGAAATAAAGTTAATTTAGAATTGGAACTCGAGAATATATGCAACGCCTCCCGCAAATGTGAGATAAATAATCTGATGNTATGACAAAGAAAATAAGCTGAATATATATGTATAAATAACTATATTCATATAAATAATAATTTTTTAATTAATTACACTGGTCTACATAATTTTTGGCACAGAAGAGATTAAAATATGGGATATGAAATTGAAATCAGTACGAAAAATTCTATTAAACACAATTTATCTCTTCTGTGTGCCAAAAATCATATAGACTAGTGTTATTAGTGTCTTGCCCCTGTACATCATACTTTTCCTTTAGCAATAGAGTCATGCCAGTCACCTAACTCCTTTCAGAGGAAAATATTTGAATTAAAATAACGTAACTTCCGGTTTATATCGGTAGTTTATATATAGTTAATCGGGACCTCCTGCATCTAAAGTTTCCATATCTGGTCTCAATGTTCATCTATCTAAGTCGATTCTCGAGATTAAGGAAGGACAGACAGTGGGAATTTATAGGTTTACAATTTTTTTAAATTGCAGCTCAATGATAAAATTTACATGCAAACGAGTCATTGTGAATAAATTAAACGAATATTTATACTGTAAACGATAACATTTTTTAAGAATTAAAGCACGAATTAATTAACTAAATAAATCTTTATACCAATTTACAACGACAATATTCGGATTCCACGCTTCGTCCGGTCCCAAATGAGTCCACATGATGTCTCCATAATCCTCTGGATTCCATTTCAGTTTGTCGTCCATCCACATCTGTTTGAAATATTATTATTTTTTATATAATATAAAAATTTATTTTCCTTATATCCCCTACTTATGACTTCTACTTGAAGATAAGTAGATAAATAAATCCTTTGATTATTATGCTTATTGATAAATAAATACTACACGATCAAGTAAAATGAGAGTAAATATACTTACAAATACAAAACTTTTCATATATAAAGCTATGTAATAGCTTAGAATTTAGGAAATTCACATTAATCAATCCATTATTTCTTAGGTATTTCGGTCAAGTATTGTATAATTTGTTACTATTTTCTGTAATAATATTTTATGGATGTTATTACAAATAGATAACTATATGTATTCTGGTTTATAATAAATTATTTATTGTTTGAAGTAATGATTCAATAATGATGGATTGAAAAATTATTTTACGATTATTCAAGAAGATTTATTATGTGAATTTTAAATTTAAATACTTTAATAATTGTAATAATATATTTAAAATAAGTTATTATATAATCCTGTATATAAATATATTTTTAGTTTTGAATCAATAATTTTTTAACTTAANATAAGAACAAGATTTTATACTCTTAAATTTAATAACACGTTAACATTATTAATATAATATATTATAGTAATGGCAAAAAAAGCTTAATTTTAAGGGTAGAGATGAGTTTAATTAAAAAAAAATTGCAAATGCTAATAACGAGTAAAATCTGCATTAAATCAGACCCCATTCGAGATATTACGCGTGATCCTTCTATCTCCATACTCGACCTTTAACCACCAAAATTTAATAGCATCAATGCCCATAATATATAAATCTCTCTGCAAAATTTCAGAGATTTTCTACAAAATACACGGGAGTTATTAAGCTTGAAAATAGGTGAACAAAATCGTGCTGCATTCCACACACATACACATAGTAACATCCATGCATCCTTTGTTTTTTGTCCTTGTTCTTTACTTTCTATTGTTTATATATATATATATATATATTTTAAGTATATACAAGTATTTAGCCTGTATCCAGAAAACCGAAAAATTTTGAAATCCGGATCACTTCCTGCTTCAAGCTTGTTGAATATTTAACCCAGTACTTGTTAATGTATTGTTAATAGTTATAATTGAAGATTAAAAAAATTATTTTAGAATTTTCTCAGAATAGTTTTACTTAATTAATCTATGAAATGTTTCGGGGATAACACATCTATATCCTATTACGGGCCTAGCAGAACCCATGGGGCACGAAGAAAAGATAGCCACTTTAGTGCCCACAGAGTGAAAGAATGCAAAAACAGAAACACCTTCGAGTCTACAATTAGATTAAAACGTGCACGAGATTCGTCTCTTCCGAATACAAAAATAATATTTTGGATAAAGATCCGCGTAGAAGATTGGTGATTATTTCTGGTGGTCGAATGGTTAATTTCGTGACTATCAGTACGAGGATTTCCGAGAGAATGGCCGACACAACGATGTAGATAACAGAGCGGACTGGAGAAACTAAGAGATTAAATAATATTGTAAGTTTTTCAAATAAAAATTATTAACAGAATTATACAGAATGTTGTAAGTAAATTATATAGCCTATTAGAGAAAGAATAAAATTAACTTACCATAAAAGTTGAAAGCCAAAGGTGGCATTTTCAATGCAGAAACATAAAGCAGGAGAATCATTAATATAAATAAAGAAACCGTCCCTAAAGTTAATTTCTTATCTGCCGACGGGGGCAACCAGAACATGAGCAACATCGACACCATGGCAACAATTATGGAAGGTTTCACGATCTTTTGAAATCCCGACGGTAACCTTTGAAACTGTAGAGAGTACACGACGTTTACAAAGGGATTGGGCATCATGTTTCTGTACTTGATTAATCTGGAGGACGAATAGTTTAAAAAGCGCCATTTGTGATTTTTTGCCATTACATTAGTATATATGTAAGGATATTCTATCTTTAAATCGACACTGATTCCGTCCTGAGTCCAAGAACCAAAAGTGATGTTGCACACTTGAATGGTATCTGGATAATTATCGAATGTCAATGGACAATGAGATTGATAAATGACTCTAGGTGACCAGGTTACTTTTCCAGATGGATAGAGCATGGGTCTTGTCATCAATAAACTTCTTACCTTCTCGGCCGGAATACTGAAAATAATTACATTATTAAGAATTATATACGTTTTGTATCTCAGTTAATGATAACAGTCACCTTTCGTATACAGAAATGTCCGGTAACCAAACTTCATCTACTCCCATAGAAAAGAAATCGATTCCTCCAAACTCGCTTGGATTCCATTTCCACCGAGAATCTAACCATTTCTACAATAAGTAAACTTTTTATTTTTAAATTAATATTCAAATAAATCAATTTTTGTATATATTACAAGAATTCAAATATATTTACCAATCGAATAAATCCATCTAAAACAAGAGTTTCGTTCTCTTCGATCTGAAAGTTTACTATTATCGATAAAATAACACTAGATATTTTAAAAGAAAGCTTACACTAGATTCTTTTGTACGAACTTTATAAATTTGTCGTTAAAACTTTCACTATTTCTGTAATTTGCATCCATAGAGTATACTTATTTAATTATATACTTATATATTTAATAATAGAAAATAGAAGGAGATGATGTTGGCCATACACTAAAAGAAAAGAATGAAACTCACTAAATCGAAACTATGGAGAACGGCCAGAGTAATATTGATTACTGTCATGTTTCCACCAGATTGAACAGGTCTTATATTTTTATTGTAATTACTTAATAACTTTTGTCTTAATCTTTTGTAGCTCATAAAACGAGTGTCGTTCTGGCAAAGAACTAAAAGAAAAGAGTCAATATTTAANCTTGATAATTCAACTACGCTTGTTGGAGAACAATAAAAACACTACACTCAACAAGCCACCAATAAAACTCAACTGCCTAACCTATAACCAAAGTCTCCTTTTAATTTGTTTTTAAAAAAAAGCGCTTGACAAACTTGCCCCGCATGCCGAAGTTGCCCCGGTCTTTCCTATTACCAGAAGAGTTGAAAATCTCGAATAAATCAAATATTCTGTATGCTACGAGATGTCAAAGTTCAACTTTACACGCCTCAAAACATTTTGCCATTGACCGTAGGTTTTAAGCATCACACGCTACTTTTAAGCATATTTATTATTATTATTATATATTTGTCAACATGGACATTAATCATTAACAGGACAATTGTACTGGTGTTAAGCATTTACACAAGAATTGAGGAAAAATTCATAAAGAAAACAGACTTTCTTTAAGGTAGCTTAATAAAGAAAGTCTGTTTTCTTTAAGAATTTTTACTCAATTCTTGTGTAAATGCTTAACACCAGTATAATTGTCCTGTTAATGATTAATGTCCATGTTGACAAATATATAATATTAAATAAAATAAGGACAGTAATGCAATAATAANTTTTTTTAAAAATAAAAATAAAATATTCTTACGTTCTGGCAAGTAGTTCTTTCAAAATGCTGCCAACAAAATTCTTTTGTATATAACATTGATTTATTGATTTTGAAGTCATTGCCACAATAATCATCATAAACAAACTTTTCTCATAATGACCAATGCTATTTTTAAAACACTACGAAAGGAGTCTTGGACACATTAACCTTTTAATACTTCCTTTAATTTTGGAATAATCAGAAGTATTATGATATATGTATATTTATTTATTTTGAAAACAGAATAATAGAACGTCATACTCAATAAATCATTCTATTACTCTAAACTTTAGAGTAATAGAATGATTTCTTGAGTATGGTGTTAGAGGGTAATGTAATTTCTTTTGTATATTTGAATAAAAAGGTAATACTTTTGATGATATAAAAAAATTATTTTATATTCGCTTGAATTATTTTAAAAAATAATTGCTTTCAAAACGGCTATGAAATATAGTGTGAATAAACAGAACATATATATACTTGAAACAGCAAAATGGGTGAAAGTTTCATTAACTTTTCAAAGATTGAATACCGACCATTTGGCACGCATTCAAAATAGTTGACCAATTTTTTTAAGAACGAGTGCCAAATAGGCACATTAAAAAACTTGGTTCGTCCAAGCTCTCTTATTACAGAAGCGTTAAGATATCGAAATACAGTAGACCCCCTATAACACTGTAGATAATTCCGTGTTATATGAATTCCACGTTGTACGAGTCACTTATATTTTACAAATACGTGAGCCGTTCACAGTATTTGTAAAATCTAAGTGACACGTGCAACACGGAATTCTTATAACACGGAATTATCTACAGTGTTATAGGTGGGTCTATTTGTATTGCAGTTATTAATTAAATTCTAATAAAAAATAAATAAATAAATAAAACTACATGACACCCTATCCTATAATTTTTTTCTATTTATCTAAACTTCGATTGAATTATAAAGCATATAAACACATTTTAAAAATACACAATAGGGTATACGCACACACACTATGGATGAAATATGGAAATAAAATAGGTCTATTTATATTCTTATATCTATTCATTAGAGTTTAAATAATTAAAGTAATTAATACATGTACTGCTTTCATGATCTACGATATTTACCAAATTTATAGATAAAAATTTTATTAAACAAAATCAATTTCTTTTTTTCTCCTCTGTTAAAATTCTTTAGCAAGATTTGTTTCCTTAAGTGATTAGATTCTTCAAGACAAATAAGACAAGTATTTACAAAAACTTATGTTTAGGAATTGTTTTCTTAAGGGATTTTGTTTTGACTGACGTTTTTCAGACCTCTTTTATATAGTTTTGAATATTCTTATGAAAAGAAATATTGAATTGAAACTGACTCGTGGTACATCAGAATTTAAAAATGAATAGCAATAGGTAAAAATAAGTAAAGACGATGCCATTGGTCTCACCCAATCCTAACGAATGTCAGCAACGTTTAAAACAACTCTCATGTTTCTATCTTTTTTCATTTCAAGAAAGAAATTTTGAAAATCTTAGATCTTGAATACACTACATATTACGAATGAGACCATCCGTAATATATGCATTAAATATTCTATATTTACCATTATATATATATTTAAAAACAATGTTTTAAAGTTCGAATACATAAATTATATTATATTATTATTTTTTGTATGTTTTTTATGTCAATGGAGAAGCTTAAGTTCTTTATCCCACTGGACTCGCCCATGCTTTCACAAAATTAGTATATGTATGCAATTACATGTATTACTGTAAAATATTTATAGATAATCTTAAGCATTTTACTTAATTAAATGTACATTAAAATAATATATATATTGAAATTATAAAAAGTAAATAAACATAACGCAAACTCAGTTAGATATGCACATTAAATTCCATTTTATGTAAAGAATTTTGAATATTTCTTTTCTTTGACATCGATATTAGCCATTGTGCATATAGCTTTAACAAATAATCTTTCTGCAAGAACATGGCAATTATTTGCAAATATATTGCTATGAGATTATATCAATTATTATCTTTAGAACAAAAAAAAAGTGACAATAATTATTTAGTTCAGTGAATGCCAATTAAATTCTATATCTTTTAGCCAATATATTTAATTATTAACAGTTCTTAATATTTTTCTAACTATTATAAACTTGAACAGTGCTAAAAAGAATGAAATATTGTCAATGTATTCAACCAGATATCGCTTATAAACAATATATATTTTTTCAGTTTAAAATTTTAGCATGCAATAAACACTATTAATAAGTAAACACGTTGATTTTAAATAATTTTAATAATAATTAGTGCATATGAAAGTATTAAAAATTTGTTAAGGTAACGTTGAGAGAAATTCAATATTCAAAATGGTGTATTGATAAAACTGTTTCTTCATTTCCATATATGTATTTGTTACGTAAAGCTTTTTATAAATAATCACCTTCCTGTGAAACAAATTGAGAAAACTTCGTGCTCCTAACTGTACTATGTAACACGTAGACGGTCACCAAATCGAAAACAGTCCTAGATAAATAAATCACTTTTAAAGGACTGAGAAACGATAAACAACATCTGGAACTTCTTAACACCACAGTTAGTTTCTAACTCCGTTAATTAAATATATCTGTTTTTCATGTATTAATTAGAGATTTACAAATTTATTTTAACTAATAACATACGAATTATATCTTTTTATTGTTTCTTAGCATTCGTTTTAAAATATCTACTTTTATTTTTAGATAAAAGTTAGTTTATACTTTCACAAATAGTTATTTAAAAGTTTATTAATACCGTAAATTGTGACGTATAAATAGATAGTAATAATAAAATTAAATACAAAAGTGAAAAAATAACAGCAAAACTCATTTTNCTCCACGATACGAACAAAAACTCACCATACGACGTTTCATTAGTTCGCATTTTTCATTTGTTTTTCTTACTACAGTTATTTTTTTTAATGTATTACTTGGCTTTAATTTGAGTATGTTTTTCGCATTGGAACGAATTATTTGGTTTTACATGTAATCGTATGGGAAAGGATGATCCACCTTACGACATTTTCATGATACGATCTCAGTTTCGGAACGGATTAATTTCGTATCCTGAGGTACCACTATAATAATAATAATAATACATTTATGTTGTTTTCGAAAATTAAAAATATAAAAGTATGAAATATCTTTATGAAAATCAACATTATGAAATTTCAAGGAAGTGTAAATTTAGTATTGTAAATATAAAAATTAATTAAATTATTATATTAAAAAATAAGATTAAAAACTTATTTAATTTACTATTGTTTGCTACATGTTAATATTATTATAGATTTATAATTTATTCAAGAATATTTTCCAACTTCATTGTAAAAATCTCTTTCAAAAATACAGTATTATGTATGAAGTTATTAAATATGATAATTAATTTATTAACTATTGTTAAATTATAAGTTATATATTGTTAAAATGTATCTTTATTAATCAATTTTTATTTGAAATATTCTCCAAGAACTTTGAGGCGGTCAACTTTACACAAAAATAGTTTATCTTTATAACCTAGAAAAATTAAATTGTACTATTCTGTTTATTATAATAACTTTATTCTTTATTCTTTATCACATTATTATTTAAATTTATTCTAACTTTGAATTAATATATTATTGTTTTTTGACACAAGATTACATTAGCAGTTAATGTAAATGGTCATAAATCAAAAATGATGTTCTTATATTAAAAAATAGATATAAAAACTAGAAATTTTCATTAAAATACAAACTAACTTGTAGTGAATTTGAAGTTAAATTTATATTAAATATATAGCCTATTTAGTCGTTATATAAATTATACATTTTTAAATATATTATAGCCTATATATATCAAAAACATTATAATTTATCGATAAATTTATAGTTTTTGATGAAAATTACTTTAGAAATTATTGGATTGCCATACTTTTTATTCCCCTATCCTCCTCTTCAGATGTCCAACAAAACTTAAAACCCCCTTATAATCTTTATGACTTTAAGAATGATTTATACCATAAGTAGAAACGAAACATAAAAGAAATTTTGAAATAAATATCATAAAATGCATAAACATACCTTTTTAAAATTGCAACCCATAAGAAAAAAATTTAACAGTAAAATTTAGTAGCGAAATAAGCAATTTTGATTCGACGTAAAACGAATAAACCCTCAAATCAACATTATTAACTATTAAAAAATCTATTTTTAAAGGTATTAATCTATCAAATATTTTCTAAAATTTGCATTACAAATTAAAAAGATAACTAAACTAAAAAGTAGTAAATATTTTCTTCCTTAAGTGAAATTAAATATAGAGAATAATACATTTTTCAGAGAAGGAAGTCTTTT